TGTAATACTAATCGATAGAGCCTCATTGGTAAGTGCTACAAGATCTAGTGCATTGGAACCCATGGTTATGGACCTGAATCCATTAGTATGAAACATTTTCTTTTCCAAGTAAAATCCCTTAGTATATGAAAGAGTGAAAAAGTGCTTTCGTTGTTGTGGAATAAGAAAAGAAGTTCACGACCCGTGGTCCTTCTACCTCCACGCGGCATTGCTTCGTCAGGCTTTCGCCCATTGCGGAAAATTCCCCACTGCTGCCTCCCGTAGGAGTCTGGGCCGTGTCTCAGTCCCAGTGTGGCTGATCATCCTCTCGGACTAGCTACTGATCATCGCCTTGGTAAGCTTTTGCCTTACCAACTAGCTAATCAGACGCGAGCCCCTTCTCGGGCGGATTCCTCCTTTTGCTCCTTAGCCTACGGGGTATTAGCAGCCGTTTCTAGCTGTTGTTCCCTTCCTAAGGGCAGGTTCTTACGCGTTACTATACACTGCAAATTTATACCGTTGATTTCTCTAGGGTTCGTTTGGTTAGCGTGAAGTAGATAGAAAGGAAAAGAAACGGAAAAGAAATTTAATTTTTGTGAGTTTGGTTACCTGGAAAGAGAAAATTTTTAGGAAAGTGAGATTCCCGTATCGATAAATTTTCCCAAAATATTTCCCCGCATAAAACACATGAAAGTTATCTTTCTCGCACAAAACTGTCATTTTATTTCCAAAATTCCTATTATGTCCAGTTGTTTCTCTATTTTTTTTTCACATAACAAATATAGTGGTTATTAAATTCAGACTTAGAAAATATTCCAACAATTATTATATATTGGGACACACAATTTGAGTTGAAGAGTAGAATTTTAAATAATATAACTTTTAATTTTTATCAATATCTCAATAGAAATATGAGAAGAGATTAATTTGAGTCATCATATTATTTATATGACATAACAATTTTACATGGATGGAAATCAATATAATATTTATTTTTTACTATCTATACAGCTTTGAACTGAATAGCGTTTTATACTGTGTGATTTTTGCAAAAAATTTGCATCGAAGTGGTTCATATTCATAAAAAATATGAAAGGAGACTGATAAATTATGCAAGAACCATAAAATTATTATGCATGAATTATAAAATTAATATGTTACTTTTGCATGACAATTTTTATTCTAGAGTTGCCATTTAATGTTTCTTGGAGGTGGCTTAAAAAAAAATATATTTAATAATTCAATAAAATATGAGTATGTTATCATAAATGAACTATATTCTACATATAAATATAAATAATTATTATTAAAAACACAAAATAAAAAAATCTGGCAACTAAAATGCAGTCCTCCTTAGTTTTTCTAATTTAAATATGAATATAAATAATAATAATAATTAATAATTTATTATTTTATGATGAAACATAAGTATGTTATGATAAGTGAATTATATTCTACATATAAATATAAATAATTATTATTGAAAACAAAAAATAAAAAGAATCTGATAACTAAAATGTAGTCCTCCTTACTTTGTCTAATTTAAATATGAATATAAATAATAATAATAATAATTATTATTATTATTAATCCATTATTTTACTATTTAATTGCTAAAAATTAATATAAATAATTGCGTATAAAGATGATTCATCCAATGCAAAATTAATTTATTTTTTAATATTTTAAATCACGAGGGTAGTTTTGATAAGTAAATCATTTTCTTTTCCTTTTCATGCTATCCAAACTAATAAAATAATATTTTCCCTAACTATCTTGAAATTTTTTCTTGCTAACCAAATACATGCAGGAAACTTGATTTTTCTTTCTTTCACTTCACTTTCACTTTCCATTATAAATTTCCGTCTAACCAAACGGACCCCTAGAGATTATGACTGAGCTTTTCATTGTTTAGAACATGGTTGCTTTTTTTCTTTTTTTCAGTTGGATATCCACCCGTTTATATCTTTTTATGTGTGCGCTCTATTCTTACATGTCATAACTCAAGCCACCTATTGGTGATTTCACGGACCCGAACCCTTAACAGTCTCTTTGGTGGTAGAGGAGATACCACTAGGCTACAATACCTTTGATGCTGAATTGATGTTTTGAAAATGCCATTTTTGTCATCTTCTGGTGCCACAGGTTTGTTTTAGTGAATGCTTTGGCTTTCAGCAAGAATCATAATGAGAAATTTCAACAAGCTTTATAACTCAGACATGTCGCTAGAGTTATCTGAATTTGGGGATGAAAATATTATACCCTAATGATATTTCTAGTTCTATATCTATTGATTGGTAATATTTATTTATGATCTAATTTCTCTCTCTCAATTTAGCAAGTATATATATAGGTCAAGTTCTTGTTGAAGGTGTGGAAAATTTCAGTTTATGAGTGTCAAGATCATAAAAATTCCCACCCCCCCTTCAATGTTTGATAATTGACAAATTATACATCTAATTTTGATACTGACTAATTTTCTTTTGTTTAATTTTTTTATTTTTATTTTTATTTTTATTTTTTTTGCAGAGTTGTCCAATTATTTCTGCAAGCTTGTCACAGAAGACATATGGAATGCATATATTCCAAAAGACGATGTATTCGAGCCCTGCATTATTTGATCACAGAGAAATTAATCAAATAAGAATAAATGCATCAATCTGCATGTACTTTTGTATCTTATGTAATGGACAAGAAACATATCATGCACCTTTTTCTACCATAACCAAGGCAACAGAAAATAAAATTACCTGGGCAGTAGTGGAAGTCAGGGGTTGAGATATATATACTCACTATTTTGATTTTGTATTTGTATATATACAAATGAATAGATATATATGTTGATTATTTGGTAAATTGAATATTAGTCATATTGGTGTAACTTTACAATTCCTTTTTCAGGAAAAAAAAAAAAAAAAAAAACACTTTATAATTGACTCATTAATATTTTAGTTTATATATTGCGAAGGATGATGTAATTTAGCCCATCATTATTTGATTTACACATCCCAAAACAAAAAAAAAATAATAATAAATAAATTTTTTTTTAATTCCAGCATCAATTTTGAGGTAGTTTTGTATGTTATGTACTAGACAAGAGACATATTATATGCCTTCTGTCATCTCCAAGACAAAAGACTTGGAATTTCTGAACTTCGAGGATTAGAAAAATGATATATTATTAGGCAGTGGAGTAAATATTTTCTTGGATGATGGATACATCTATGATCTATCGATTTCTAGGTTGCCAAACGACAGTATTAAAGACGGCCGTAGTTCATAATATTAGTTATTACTATTATTATTATTTTATTATTCTAATTTTATGTATGGCACATAATTTTTTTTTTTTTTAAATAAAAATAATTTCAATGTATGCTCAAACTTAATTTGAGTCCAATTCGATCTTTATGGAGTTGGACAATCATTTGAGGATTATGGTTAGATTTCATTGAAAAATTATAACATGAACTTAATTTTTATTGAAAAATCAGCAAATCAAATTCAATATGAACTTAAATTTGAAAATGATTTTGTATACATTGTATATAGGTTAATTGAAGAAAAAAAAAAAAACTCGTGCACTATACAAGTTTTGCAAGTTACCCAATGCTTATTTTTCCTTAAATGATGATTTATTGCATAGTAATCTTTTGGAGGTTTAATTTCTGAAAAGATTGTTTCTAATGTTTTCTACACCTGTATCTCTTTTGGAGAATTTTTTATTTTATTTTTTTATATGCAAGAGTAATTCAATATGAGATTAACCCAATTTTCATAACCGAGTTCAAAATTTTAATACGGGTGTGCTTAAAAATATATATAAATAAAAAATAAATAAATAATGTACAATGTATACATAAATAAAAGATTGTTTCTAATGTTTTCTACATCTGTATCTATTTCGCTACAGACCTGGATCCCCCCTCCTGTGATAAGTCTGGTGTCTCAAAACTACCTTGTACGTTGAGGTTTCCCTAATGCATGCTCACTTGTTACTATTTCCCTGATATACAATTTTGTAATTTGTATTATACATTAATTTTATGTCCAGTATTGACATTATTATATAAAGAATTATAATTATATTTATTGTAATTTGTATATAAGATAAAAATATATATGTATTTGATTTGTATATATAGAAAGATATTTATATTTTTTTACCTTGTATGACAAGATAATTTTTTTCATATAACAAGAATACATTAACGTTAAAAGTTAATAATTAGAGGGAAAAAAAAATATAAAGGTGACATCAACTTTTGAACACAAGGAGCAACCCAATCACCTGCTTTATATGGTAAAATAAAATAAAATGATCACAAAATTAAGGTTGATTAAAGTATTACTCCTTTCGTCCCATATTAGAAGTCCATGTTTAGAAATTGGAGTTTTTAAGGGAACATACAATCAATGTATTGTGTCCTTTTAAAATGAATTCCATTGGTCTAATTCGGGACCTTACGATAGATTTTGACTCTATCTATCCTACAAACATATCAAGATAAATAATATTGAATGTGCCCTTAGATTTATTTGTGACCCTCGAGGAGCCGTATGAAGTGAAAATCTCATATACGATTCTGTAATAATGATGGAAACAGTGATATTATCACCGATTATGATTATCTAGTACCCTTTCGGTCTCTTATTAGTAGTTCATTTTTTTCTTTGAGAGTATCCCAAATTAAATGTCCACGTTGAAAAGTCGAACAAAATAAATGTTATCTTTTCATAATTACCCTTCTAACATTCAAAAATTTTACAACTTGGTGTTATATATATTTAAAGTTTGAAGGACAACTTAGTAATTTGAAATAAGAACAATGCATTAATTACATGTCTCCTTAAAAAGTTAAAAAATTAAAAAATTAAAGATAGGCAACTAATAAGGAATCCATGATGGAGTACTTAATGTCCAAACATTGAATTCCAATTTCTTCTGGTCGACAAATTATGTGAAGACAAATTATGCATGTATACAAGTCGGCAACCGCATTACCCCTCCATTATATATATATATATATATATATATATATATATAATTCCAAACACATTAATTACCATACCCTCGTGAACTACTCAATTTCACTAACTTCGATCACTCTCTTTTTTTTTTTTTACTCTCTCCCTCTCTTCGTTTCAAATTCATATGATACAGCGCACTCTCTCTCTATATTAGGCAACACATAGGCACACGTACTTTTTTTTTTTTTTGTCTATATATACACTTTGAAGGAGACCTATAGTGAGAGATATATATATGTATATGTACATGACTGAGTCTCTGTCTAAAACTCAGTTTGTTTGGCTAAGTAGATTATTATCACAAGATCAGTTTCCAATGGAGTTGGTGGGCTTCATTTGGGTGGTGTTGGTGGCCATTTTTGGTGGTCTTTTGGCTCTCAGGTGGCTGCTTAAGAGTGTGAATGTGTGGTTCTATGAAACTTATAAGCTGGGTGACAAGAGGTTTTCTCTGCCTCCAGGTGATTTGGGGTGGCCTTTCATCGGCAACATGTGGTCTTTCCTCAGAGCTTTCAAGTCCACCGACCCTGATTCTTTCATGTCCAGCTTTGTTACCAGGTATATCTCAGAGATTCTGTCTCTCTCTCTCTTATATATATATATATATATACACACACACACACATACACAAATATGGGGATTAAACAGCTCAGGTGGTTTTGATGTTTCCCATATAATGTGGGGATATTTTAGTAATTACAGTCCTGAAAGTTATATATTAGAAAAATAAATTAGGTTTAACTTTTCAAAAACTGTTTATAAATAAGTCAAAAAAATATTTTGCTACAACTATATTGTGGCTGTGTTCGGCTTATGAAATTGAAGCATGAGAATTGATGAAAATTTTGGTTCAATTTTGTAATTTGCTTTTCTTCAATTTTACAAATTTCAATTCTAAAACTCTAATTCCATACAACCGAACACCGAAAACAACTTATGGGTTGAAATGAATTTAAACTAACAAATTTTGAAATAGAAATAATAATCTTCACAAGAGTTCCGAGTTTTTATAAAATATATTTTAAAAACTGTTAATTAAATATAATTTTGTACAATTTTTTATTAATTAATTACCAAAAAGGGCCCAGTAATGACAGCAGCTTGTGTCCTCGTTTCATGTAATGCTCTACTCTTAGAAGAATAGCATACGCCAATATGTCAAGCAGGCGGTTTCTGTCATTTTTGTTGACATTTTGCTTGCAAAATTACAAGAAAATCTTGTCTTTTTATCAACAAAAACACAGAACTCTTGTCAAGATTATTTTTTCTATTTCAAAATTTGTTAGTTTAAATCCATTTCAATTACCTACAAGCTGTGTTCGATTGAATGAAATTAAAATTTTTAAATTGAAATTTGTAAAATTGCAAAAAAAATAACTCACAAAATTGAAGCATGGAATTAGAATTTTAGAATTAAAATTTGTAAAATTGGAGAAAAACAATTTAAAAAATTGAAACAAAATTTTCAGCGATCCCAATGCTTCAATTTCATGAAGCCGAACACTGCCACAATATATTTAACAAGTCTTGTTTCCAATTTACATTAGCTGATTGGAGTCCACAGAAAATAGACATCTTAATTGGCTACTCTTTTTTTAATTTCTAAAATTTTGAAGTTAAAAGCAACAAGCTAAGGAATGTAACATGAAATGAAATGAAAACTTTCGTGATGCGATAGATAAGACTACCAATTACAATAAAAACAGAACATTACACATTCAAACTGTCTATTTCTTGCTTCTGCTGTCGGATTATTAGGTAATTATACTTCTATCATCGGAAATGTTGTCGTCAACCAGGATCAAAATTACTTTTTGCATTATTGACAAATGAACTATTGATCCACTGGATCTTACAAATCCGAACCTCCTACTGTTAATTGGTTGCATATATATTCATATTCATACAGTATATTGGTCGATCATAATCCTAAAATCCATTTCAATTTTTGGTTGGATATATATATTTTCCAACTGATGTGATTGACCTATATGGCCATGTTATACTTTTTGCCAACATTGCTTTGGATTTGGTAAATTATGTTTCTATCTTGTATGGAACATACATGAGCCCAGCTAGGATGACTTTTTAATCCTTCTATAATTGATTTGGAGTCTACCAAAATTCTAAGAAATCTATACTCATAAAAGTTCAATAGTTTGGAGTCTAGCAAAACTCTCACTTTAGGACAAAAAGTTCAACAGTTCCTAAACTAAAAAAAGATGATGCTATCGTATATTGTTAGGCACATTTCCTTTTACAGTATTATGGTCAATCAAATTTAGGTTAAATTCAGATGTAAAGAGTTTGGTTCTTAATCTAAAGTAGGTTTTGGTCACATTCAGTTGGGTTCCCTTTAATTGACAGTATTAGGTTGAGTAGGGAATACATTTACCATTTCAACAAGTAAAATTCACCATTTAATTGAAATGAATTGCAATTCTGTTTAATATTGCAGATTCGGGCGTACTGGAATTTACAAGGCCTTCATGTTCGGTAATCCAAGTGTGATAGTTACCTTGCCCGAAACATGTAGGAGAGTCTTAACAGATGATGAAAACTTCAAGACTGGTTGGCCTACCTCCACTCTGGAACTCATCGGAAAAAAATCATTTATTGGCATTTCCGATGAAGAGCACAGGCGCCTGAGGCGTTTAACTGCATCGCCTGTCAATGGTCCCGAGGCATTGTCCATATACATCAGATATATAGAAGATAATGTGATATCTGCCTTGGATAAATGGACTGGCATGGGACAATTTGAGTTCTTAACTGAACTACGAAAGCTCACTTTCAAGATAATAATGTACATTTTCCTGAGCTCCGAGAGTGAACAGGTGATGGAAGCTTTGGAGAGAGAATATACAACACTTAACTATGGTGTTAGAGCCTTGGCAATCAATGTCCCCGGATTTGCTTACCATAAAGCACGAAAGGTGAGGTTTGGTTACTGTTTACTCTTCAAAAAGAGTGTATCCTTCAAAGCATAATATAAAATTAGGACATTTTTGATTGCGAATCCAATTATTGATTTTAGTGTTGGGGTTTAATTTTTAAATTTTAGGCACGAAAAAAGCTGGTGGCTATTTTTCAAACTATAGTGGATGAGCGAAGGGCGCAGATGAAGAATTGTCCACCAACATCGAAGAAAGACATGATGGATGCGCTATTAGATGTTGAAGATGAGAATGGGAGAAGATTAAACGATGAAGAGATAATTGATGTTCTAGTAATGTATTTGAATGCTGGACATGAATCTTCTGGCCACATTACAATGTGGGCTACCCTTCTTTTACAAGCGCATCCTGAATTCTTCCAGAAAGCTAAGGTAAAAAATAGAATTCCGCTTATGCGTTGATATTTTATGATTCCTCTGTTTCCTTCTATCGTTAATGATGCAGACTGATTGTCCTGTTTCCTTTTTACACGAGTATACTGTTTAGAATGTTTTTGTTTGGTCTAACTAAATCCAACATTCAGTACAATACCCACATCCGTGCACTCAAAGTTATTGTTTTCTACAAATGATACTCTCAATGGTATATATCCTCCAATCTAATAGCTGACTAACGTATATTACAGAGCTTAAGATCTACTCTCTAGAAATCTCACCTAAACATTCTCTAACTCTACAAAACTCTCTATTCTTTTTAGAATATTCTCCGAGCTAAAATTTTTTATAAGCTCGATTTTTATTGTTCTAGAATCCACTATCAATGTTCAACACTCCACGACCCTCTATACAAAAGTGGAATAACTCCTAAACTCAACTTTCCTCGTATAATACAGATCAATGCATGCAACGTTTTTACAGTTTGTTTCGATGTAAAATATTCTTTTTAGAAAATATTTTTCTTTTTCAAGTAAATTATTTTTTTATTTTTACTTTATCTGTATTTGGCAAAGGTCTACATCGAGGTTGAGGTCGAGTCCATCCGGCGGGGAATGTAAAATAACTTGTCGAAAATTAATAGATAAGTTATTTTTGTTAAATTTAATTTTTTTTTTCTTCGTAAATATTTTACGATGACCAAACACCAAAAAATTAAAAAAATATTTTCTGAAAAATATTTTACGTCCAAAAAAACAAACGGAGCCTTAGTATTTTGTGTTATTTTGCACAAATGTCTTTGACACTAGAACTCCATGGTTTTAGTTTGGATTCTAAGTTATTAAACTTCAAAGTTGATCACGGTTGAGATTGTAATTTTTTTCTTTCAATTTTAATAAAGCCTATTATGTTTGAATTAAAAATAAACTTATTGTGGACGACTATTCCGACTATAACCATTCGAAGTATCTCAAATTATTTCTTTTATCCTCTTCAAATATTTGACAAAATGATAGCTTAGCCATTTATTTTGTTTAATTGGATTTGAGTTCAAATTTTCCTTTAAATTTCAAAGTCTGCTTCCTAAACATGGCTAATCTTATTTCAGTCCGAACAAGAGTTAATAGTACGGAACAGACCACCAACACAGGAAGGGTTGACCCTCAAGGAAGTTAAACAGATGAATTATCTCTCCAAGGTATGCACTCTTTTTAGAGCTTCTCAGTCTCTATTATGTTAGTTCACTTTCAGTTTTTTTTTTCCTTCTAATTTTTTTTTTTCCCTTCATTAAACTAGGTGATCGATGAAACACTTCGTCTAATAACATTTTCATTGACGGTCTTCCGAGAGGCAAAAGCAGATGTTAATATAAATGGTTAGTTTATGAATCTACATTTTCCTTTCTATTATATTCAGATTATATATAATTTTTTTTTTTTTCATTGCCTCCATTGAGGCTTGAACCCTTGTCAACCTCTCCCTTAGCGAGTAAGAGTCTATATCACTGGGCAATTTGGTCTCTTGTTGAAGGGCACAATTTTAGTCCCAATAAAACTGACTTTTAAATTTTGATGTCTTAGTCCAGTCATTATTTTATCAAGCTCCATTCTGGAGAAAATAAAAAAAAATAATATTTTACAAAGCTGTGGTGTTTAGTTCTGTCATGAAAAATACCACTACATGCAGTATCTACTTAAACTAGCATATATATATATATATGCACACACTCACACAAGCACACACACACACACACTTATATGTTTATTAAAATAATTTTATTTTTTGTTTCAGGTTATACCATTCCCAAAGGTTGGAAAGTTTTGGTATGGTTTAGGACAGTTCACTTGGACTCTGAAACTTATCCTGAGCCAGAGGAGTTTAATCCTTCAAGATGGGATGTAAGTTTAACAGCACATTTTTCTCTCGCCCATAATATTATCATATAATTATGTGATTTGGTTAATGCGTGTGTCATGTTTGTTTTTATATATGTATGTATTTAAGATATATAATTTGCTAAATTGATTTATGCAGGGTTTTACACCCAAAGCAGGTACTCACCTTCCCTTTGGATTAGGAAGCCACATGTGCCCGGGAAATGATCTTGCGAAGCTAGAAATTGCTATCTTTCTGCACTATTTTCTCCTTAATTATGAGTGAGTTTGATTAAGCCCCTTCACTTGTTCTGACTTTGCATTTTCATTATTTAGGCTCCGTTCGTTTGTTTGGAATTAAAATGTTCTCCTTGTAAAATATTTTTTAAACAAAACGTTTTCGTTATTTTCATTTTTAGTTTTCAATATTTGGTAACGGTCCATAAAATATTTTTTACATCAACTTTTGTGCACAATTAACTCTCTCTTTCTTCATTGTTCCTCACCAATACTCTCCTTACACCATCTCTCTTTTTTCCTTACTTTCTCTCGACCAACCCAAATTTATGTTCCTCTTTCTCTCTTCTCTCTTTCTATGTATACATATAGAGAGAAGACTTAAGATTAGATTTTTATATTGGGAGGACTGAAAAAGATTATTTGTTCAAGAGATATAGGTGTTCAATACAAATACGGATAGTTTGTAGCATGTGAAAAATGACTTACACAAACTTTTTTGGTAAATCATTTGTAGTCATTTGGGGGTAAACTGATTTACATGAAAAATAATTTCATAACCATGGAGTCTCCCAAACACTAGAAACGGGGTCTTAATGTCACAAAAAATAACATTGTAATTTGCTATGTAATTACATTAATTAGTGGTCACTAAGAAAATTTGAAGACTTAACCAAGTGTTTACCATAATTTTTATTTTTATTTTTATTTTTTGCAGGTTAGAACAGACAAATCCTGGATGCCGAATGATGTACTTGCCTCATTCAAGGCCAAAAGACAACTGCTTGGCAAAAATAAGAAGAGTCTCTCCTTAATTTCTAGTTGTATTAGACAATAAACAATATATATATATATATATATTTATTGGGTCATATGTTTGCTTAGTGATATATAATAAGAGCATGCTTATTGTTTTCATATTTATTTTCTTTGCTTAATCAGTGGTTATAGTGACTATATAATGAGTCCTTGTAAAATCTTATAATAATAATAATAATAAGAGCATACTTATTGCTTTCATATTTATTTTCTTTGCTTAATCAATCAGTGGTTATATTTATTTTCTTTGCGCAAGGTTGCATTTTGATAGCTGGACCTACCTTTGGGATGTGGTTTTAAATATTATTAATTTTCAGTTCGGTATAAGCTTGAGTAATACGGATTCAGAAAATTAAATAAGAGTGAACTAGTTTAAACAACAATAATACACAGTGAAGTGTTATAATAAATTAAGCGGTGCATTTTAAAAATTTAACAAAAAATATTGATAATTTTCTAAATAAAATAAAATAAAATAAAATAGTGGGAGCCCTTAGTAGGTCCCCTGATGGTAGACATCAAACCTTTTTTTTTTTTTTTTTTTGAAAAACTCTTCAGATTTTTTTAATTTTTTTTCCTTGTGAATTTATTTCAAATTATCACATCACATAAATTTTATGGAGCGGAAAAATACGTTCCATCAAGTTTGATTTGGTTTTATGGGAATATAAATGGTCTTAAGTTTTTCACACCGATTTGCATAGGCTACCGACTTTTTGATCGCCATTGAATTCATTAATTCGGTGTCCACTATATTACAACAAAATTGACATTTGAAACTTCAAAAATCATATCAACGAATTAATTCGCCCATAATACATTAATGTGAGTTCATACAAGAGAAAGACGATTTTTATGATGCTGAACGAATTAACCATTCCCTATAGATAGTTTTTAGGATACGATGCAAAAATAATTTTCTGAACTATGTTTGAATTTGTAAATAATTCTTCTAAACCTCATAAATTATCATATTTTGTTGCAAAATATTTCAATACCCATATTATATTTTATTAAATGACCATAAAGTTCATTATTATTGAATTATACTTAATCTATTTTTATTATTTAAATAAATTATGAAAAAAATTCATATTAATTTGGTGACATATTCTCTATTAAATTTACACAAATTTTTCATTATTTTTTTTAATTAATTATTTAAATAAAAATCATTAGTAGAATTTTTTTTAAAAGTTTAATTAATTTGTTAATTTTTAATGAATTTATTATATGAAAAGAAGGTATTTTTTTAATTTAATATTTTTTCATCAATATATTGTATGAAAAAAAGATATTTTTCAATGATAAAAATATTTAAATAAGAGGAAAGAAAATAAAAATTAATTTAATAAGAAATGAAAATTTTAGTAATAAATAGTAAAATAGTTTTTTGTGATAAGTTTGTTCTTAATCACAACGAATCAATAGTTTATGAACAGTTTTTAGTTCAGATTGATTATTTGTAAAAGAGTAATAGTTCAAGGAGATTTCTATATTTTTTATTTAATTTATTATTGTTACGGCTAATGTGAAAGGACCAAATTGTCCGTTTATGTTGTATTTAAACCAGATTCGTGGCACCTCAGGATTGGTTTGTTTTGAGCATTTGGGGAGCAAAAGTGTTAGGTTAAACATTTCTCCGCAGTCAAGAGTTAATACTAACTTAATACACACATGGAAAGATTCAAGGGTTATTGATAATAGAGCCCGTGAAAATTTAAATTTTCTATGAAGATCTCTTGTTCCTTGAACAGATTGGTCATATGTATTTTTAAATCATCCTTACTCTGACCTTAATTTGGTTTCACATGGATAACATATTTTTTTAATTTTGATAACATTATATAAACCAAATTATGTAAAATTAATACAATTTGACCAACGGTTAGCATGATGCTAATCACAACCTCTCCAAAAAATATAATAATAATTTTTATTTTTTTTTTTTATTTTTTTTTTTTATGCTAATCACACATTCACAATATCTAATTGATCTCACTACCTCGTCACTTAACATCCCAATTATTTTACTCAATTTTTTTTTTAAATAAATTTTTGTTGCTTTCATTGTTTAATCATGTATTAAAAATACTAATTCAATGATTAGTTAATTTAAAACCGCAATCAAGCTACTATCATTTAGAGTGGCTCTAAAAGACTAAAACCATGAGATGTTCACACGTGTCTTGAAACATTAAAATTATTGGTTTGGTTTAGATCATTTTAACCTGAGACTTCAATTTTGACGTTATTCACACAAAATAATTATTTCCAGAATGTAATTTGAGATAAATTAATGATTTTCAATGTAAAATAATAAAATTAATGAATAAAAAAAAATGTCAACTTTTGATGTCTCATCATTTAAAGAGTTTACTAAAATTACATTTGATTAGAGTTTAAATTCACTATCAATTAAATGATTTTTTAAATAATATAGGTAGAGATCGATGATACTGAAACTGATATTATCTTTTATGTTGAGATAAATATTAAATAATGAACATTCTTCGATCATTAGATTTACTAAGAATAGTTACTCAACTAAACTATCACAATCACCTTCCTTTCAGTTTTTTTACTGCTATATCAAATTCGAGATAGAGAGAGAAAATAAAAAAATAATAATAAAAATAAAGAGATAGAGAGAGTATAGTCGGCAGAGCCGTTGAACCGCCTACAGGAGTTAATAAATAATAAATCTAGAACATGAAAATCCTCGCAGTCCCCGCCGGTGTTATGTAAGCTAGGTTTGAATATGATCTGTTGAAATTGAAAACAACTACTCACTCGTATTTTTCTGTATCAAATATATATATATATATATATGTATAAAATTTATGTATACCACGTCTTGCGTAACTTGAGATCTAATTTGTGGTTCTCTACTGTTTGAAAAGTCAAAACTCCCAAACGTTAAATACAAAACACATTTCAGATAGTCAATTATATTTTGTCACAATCATTTTGGATAAGCATATACTATGAAAAGAGAAAAATCATACATTTCATAAGTCAGCGAAAGAAAAGATACACCTCATAATACTTACCAAAATAAAATTGATACAGCACATAAAATGGGGGTGACAAACAATATTGGAAAAATTATCAATTCATTACCAACTCCTGCTTTTCACATTAACACATTAAAAGTTTTCTCTAAATCCTGATTTTTTCCATATAAATTCTAAATTACTAAATCTTTCTTTTTATCCTTACTAAATGAGATATACTATTCCTAAATTAAATATAAAATTTAGATTCAAACTTTCGAATATAAAGAAAAAAAATAAAAAATGCAATCCAGATAAGTTGGAGGTACAACTCAGGTTCAACTCTAAGTACTTAAACCATCCTTGAACTTTTAAACTCATGTTTGCAATTCAGGTTAAGATTTCGAGTCAAAAAGTTGTTAATTCAAGTTATTTATATGATCAATTTCGCAATTGAAAATTCAAAATAATCTTTAGTTAATTTCATATTAGATTCCTCATAAGCACAAAAATATTTAGAAACCTACCAAAAAAAATACAAAAAGGTAAACATATATTATGAATATTATATATTCCCTGCATCCAAATTTAAGTGTTGCTTAGAGCGGCTGCAGCGGCTTGCAGAAGCCCAAATTTCGTGGGAGTCAGGTCCTTTGGCCGCGCAGCGAGCTAGCTAAAGCATGCGGGGCCCACTATATCGCGTTGTTTTGCCTTAGCCCTTTTTTGTTTTTTTTTCTCAAACGCTACTGTATAGTGGCTAAAAAAAGGTTATTTTGAGCTCTTTTTTTTAAAAAAATATAAAATAAAATTCATTAAATAAAAAATATATTGTTTAAGCACTGTTTATCCAAAAATAAATTTATTTGAGCCAAAAATAAATTTAAAAACCTTCCCCTTTTTTTTTTTTTTTGTTTTTTTCCCTTAATTTTTTTGCTTTAAATTTTAAATGTGTACCACAAACAATGCATTTGGCTGTTAAGGCACTGTTTGGCTGACACAAATAGTGCCTTAACGGCTATAGTTTTTTTTATAAAAATAAGTATAATTTTTTTTTTTTTTTAAACTTTTGAAAAAAAACAATTAAAATTACAAATTCATCTACTTATTCCCATAGGATTTTGTAATCCTTATTTTCATATTCCAATTCATTATTTTTAATCTTAAAAAATATTACATAATAAAAATTCTAATACACGAAATGTCATAACATCTTAAAAATAAACAAAATGCAACATAAATTAAACATCTTCATCACCATAGCGGTTCCACAAATTTTCCATCAAATCATTTCTCAACTGCGTATTTGTCTCTCTGTTGCGAATCTGAAATTGGCAAGAGAATATGTGTGCTATTAAAACTGATGGACATCGACTTAAAGTGGGAATCGAGATTGCATCATTTGGTGGCGGAGTCCATCTTCCAACATTTGCGTGACGCTCATCTTCAATAATCATATTGTGAAGGATGATTCACATTTTCATTATGAGCCACAAGTCATCTTTCTCCCAGTAACGCACTGGTCCTTGCGTTATTGCCCACTTGGTTTGCAATACCCCAAAGCTTGTTCCACATCTTTCCTGCATGCCTCTTATTGCTGAGCAAACAATTTTTCTTTTCAGTGGTTGGGTGCGGGATAGTCTGCATCAAAGTTACCCACTTAGGGTATATGCCATCAAACAGGTAATACCCCATTCTATAGTGATGTCCATTCACTACATAATTAACCAGAGGTAATTGGCCATTGACGATACCGTTGAATACCGGGAAATGATCCAACACATTTATATCATTGTGTGAACCCGACATTCTAAAGAATGCATGCCAGATCCACAAATCTTATGAGCCAATTGCTTCCAATATGAGAGTATTCTTGCTAGAGCGTCCCCTATGTGTGTCGTGCCACTCCACTGGGCAATTCTTTCATTCCCAGTGCATACAGTCGATAGAACAAAGCATACACGGAAATCCTTTCTGCTCCCCTTCTTCAAGTAGCCGTGCTATGTCGGCTTCGTTGGGTGGGCGCATATACTCCTCTGTATACACATCAATAATAGCATTACAAAATGCCTTCAAGCATTTAATGGCAGTGCTCTCACCGATTTTAATATACTCGTCATAGTGATCAGCTGCACAACCATATGCGAGTATACGAACACCAGTTGTCATCTTCTGTATAGAAGATGTTGAAGGTGGTTCGTGAGTATGATTAGAAGATCATTCCATGTAAGCTAAGAATCTTGAGACCAATATCCAAGTGGAGATCCAAGCAACACAAGGGATTATCTGGGTATGGAGATTAAGAAAGGGAAGGCTGAACTAGGTACTGTGTGAGCTCGAGCTTGTCAGTAAATAGCTATTAATGCGGTCGTTGTTGTTCTTAAGAGGCTGATTAATGCTCCTATTTATAGTGCTCATTCCCTCGATCAATGTTTCTCAGTCCTTCGGGTGAACCTGCTTTTACTCAAGGGTTTGAAGGTCTCTTTCTCTGACGAACGAGACGTTTATGAATGGGCCGCGGTGTTTTGCCCCTCGGTCAAAAGAGGTAATAACGCTTTTTAATTAATACAGGTCTTATCAGATGTCTTTCATAATTAATGCGTCATTTATCTATCTTTGCTCGAGCTCAAGTACCGATTATCCTTTCCCCTTTATGTTGTCCTCGGGCCGAGGCAACGCCTTGGAATCTCAGCCACCTGTCCACATGTTCTCAGATTCCCGTACTTCAGAGGGAAGAAAGCCCTCCTCGAGGTTCTGCCTTCATGACTTCGCAGAGTTTCATCCCGATTCTATATTCTGAGGTCCCCAATGACCGAGTGGGGAAACTCGCAAAACAGGTTAGTCGAGGGTGCCCTTTTAGAAAGCAGCCTCGGACGAGCAGAAGGGGGGAGGAGCCCATTCGACTGGAGCGGGGCACGTCCGCAGTAAAGGAAGGGTAGCGACCCCTTCCTCAATTAGTGAGTCCAGTTACTGAATAGGCAGCTTGAGGATACCTATTCTTATTATGGGTACGCCAGGTAAGCGCTGGCCAGTTGTGCCTATTTGACAGAGGTGACGCCGCTTAAACGGCCATCGTGGCACGGTCATCAACATTTTGCCCCCTGCTTGAGGTTACCAAAAAGGGGAGCTCGAGCAAATTTTTGGTTTTATCCTAGAGTCATGTACTTTTATTGTTATGCTTTTAATATCGAAGGGTCATGTCAGTTCGGTTCTCAAGCTTCTACATGTCATCCTCTTACCAATGTGCCGAGTTGTGACGCTTCAAATGCTGAGCTCCCGTCTTTTTGTCTGTCAAGGGCGCGACGCTTGGGGTGCTGGGCCCCTACTATTTAAGCAACACTTGTTCCTTTGTAAGGCATAGTGTAAACTAAACTCGCCTCTCTTCTTAAAATTCTCCTAAGATTTTCCTTCTTTACTCGAGGGCGAATTCCATTCATGGCCTTGCGCGACGATGTCCCCAACGTTCCTCTCTTGGCTAAATGGCGAGTTACTCCTTACTTTGGTCCAAATGATACCTTTTGGGCCAATAATGATGAGTTGAGTGAGGTGGATGAGACCCTGGAAGGCTCGTTCCTATTCGAGGGCGAGCCTTATGCTCGGGCAAGAGTGCCCATTCTTCCTCGTTCAGTGTTGAGATTTAGGGTCGAGCGCAACGACTTTCCTTATTCTAGTCTCGCTTTTACTAGTCAGACCGGTCATGGCCGAGGGTGAGATTTGTGGACCGATGCCATCTTATCTGATGCTAGGTTTTCTGAGACTTTGAAGGCTTCAAGAATCCCAGACGCGATTCAAAATACCCGCGAGTTGACCATTCCGCGAGACATTTATGACCTCACTCTTCTCATTTCTCAGTGGAGTCGTGACACCCACACCTTTTTTACCTCGTGGGGGGAGTTCACTCCTACCATAGAGGATGTAGTGCAGCTTATGTGTTTGAATGTGTTTGGGGAGCATAATCCCGGCTCCTAGGTATTTCCTGAAGACGAGGTCAAGCTTGCTGCCAAGCTACGCAGCGGTGTTACCTCGGCCGGTAAGATCGCTTCGCGCTATCAAGACGATGGGCTTCGTGAGGAGTTTCCGAAGACTGGCAAAAAATGCACCTTCGTGTCGCTCCTCCGTTACTATTTTTGGGATTCCCCCTACCCCCCAGGACCAAGAAGGAGAGACATCCTTCAATGGTCCTAAATGTAAGGACTCGGCTCGCCTTGCCCTTTTTCTCCTATCCTGGTTATCCAGGTTCATTTTCCCAGGTCCTCCTGATGATGGACCATGTCCCGATCTTATCCATTTGGCTGTTAGATTATCCAGTGGTAACAGTTTTCCTTTAGCCGCGCTGTTCCTTGGTACACTCCATCACGAGCTCGACTTGGCGCATGCCCGTATGAAGTGCTCCGTTGGACGTATGAGTGTGGTTTCTCCCATTAATACTATATTTCTTCAGATGTTCTTATATGAGCATTTTCCACGGTACGGTCCTCGCCCAACAACGCTTCCTCGAGACAAGGGTCTGAAGCGATCCTTTCAATGGCATAAACATACCACAAAAAAGAAGTTAGCAGAGTACATTGATCGAGAGAGTTGCTTCCTGACTCGCCCTTATACTCACGGACCTCGGGTGGAATGCTGTTCCTCGAGAGATGGCATGGTTATCTCGGGCAAGTCTCTAAGGCGTACTTCAGCTTTGACAATCATTGCCATGTTTTCTGCAAGCTACCTTCCTACCCTTCTGCCTCCTCACTCAGGCGTGGGTAAAGTTTACAATCCTCATAGGGTGGCTCGGCAGTTTGGGTTGGATCAGGGGCTTTCTAAAGATTATGGGTATGGGGCTCGTCAAGACCATCGTACCTATGCCTTAGGTTTTCTACGTTTCCTTGATTCTGGGGAGGCCGAGCTCTTGGGGGAACGCCAAATCCTTCATGTTCCTTCGGCCTCGCGGGTGAGGCGATGGGGAACACAGACAAGTGTGTATTGGAAAGAAGCGATTACCTCCTTCAGGCAGTTTGTGAGTAGTACTCTGGTTCCTGTCCCTGCTCGTTCCTTTTGTCCTTTCAAGAATACCTCTATATCTACACATGGGAAACCATGTAGCATAACAGGTTTACTTCCTCTGGTTCTATCAAGTACTGCGGCGCTTGTGATAGCTCTCCGAGCTACCAAGACTCGTCGAGACAAGCTCAAGGTTGATCAGGACGTCAGCAATTTCGTGCCCGCGGCTACTTCCTCCAAACGGACCAAGGTAGGCGCAAGTATTCTTTTACTTGTAATCTCCTTATTATTTCTCAACACTGACTATTCCTTGTTTGTTTCCAGAGCACCACCAAGGATACTTTCCTCATCCAGAGCTTCATTGCTTCCTCGGGGGCTTCTCTCCCATCAGCTCGAGCTGGGGTGGCCTCGAGCACGAGAAACCACTATGTGTTACCTAAGAAAACTCCTACTACGGCCGTGCCTGCAGATACCATAGTTGAATACCCCTAATTTTAAAAGGATATCTCTGGTATTTAATTTTTGATTTAATTGTTTTTATTTGATTGTTTTTATTTGATTAATTGTTTAATTGTTTTATTGTGTTGGTTAAATATTATTTGTTTAATTGGTTTTAATTAATTATGTAAATTAAATTAAGTGCTGAATTTATGTAACGTGGATTAATTACCTATTTAATTGTTTCATTTAATTAATGTACTGTATCTTTCTTTATGGTAACTTAGGGTTACAGTTATAAGAGCCGCCGTAGGTTAGAACTGATAGTTTCATGGGCCGGTTAGAATTGAAATTAGGGCTTAGCCTTAAATTGTACATGGATTAGGGTTAGTGTTAATTTACACCTATAAATATATGTAATATGATGGTTTAGGGTTTAAAGAAAATAAGCGTGCGTTCTGTACACCACAAACAGAGCCTCTAGTTTGGTAGTGAAAACCAGAGAGATATAGAGAGAACCGGAGTGGGAATTTGGGTGGTTCACAAAACAGAATCAAGGAGGGAAGTTTGGTGTGTGTTATTGAACTGCAGTAGGAGCAGCAAGGGTGGTTTAACACTCAGAGACGTGGAATTAGTTTTCAAGGTTGAGACTCAAAGGCAAGTCTCTGTTCTTCTCTTTCCCTTTAATTGTGTTCTGTGCATGTCTAGTTAGACTCCAGGGATTAAATAAAGGCTAAAACGGATTTAAACAAACCTTATAACAAGTCTTTTATGCATATATGAATTTTATTTAATCTCGTTGAATTAACTGGTCTGCATAAATCTGTGATGTTCTCTTATTTGTTTTCTCTCGTTGTTTACATTTAAGTTTTGTTTAATAGAGATTTGTAATGGATTGGATGCCTTGTAACTAATTTGGGACTGAGTTTAAACCCCAGAACAAGTTCTTAAAACAGTATTTGATTTCACTAAATTAATCTGTTTAAATCTGTTGTGAGTTGCTTAAAATTTCTAACGATGATTCTGTAATTCGTTGCTTTAAAACTGGTGTTCAATACATATTATGATTGATTATTAGTGGTTTAAAATTTATCTAGGACTAAGATTGAACCTAGAACAGGAATTAGAACACATTACAGAGGTTCTGTAATCACCGGAATTGGAGAAGATGAAGCTGGAATGGACAACGGCTGCTAAGGGGAGGGAGAGCAGGCTCCCAATTTCCTTAGAGCCGGCTCCAAAAGAGGTGGAGCCGGCTCTGGGTGTTCTTGGAGCTGGCTCTAAAAAGCCTAGAGCTGGCTCTAGAAGAAAATTGGAGCAGGCTCCCATTTTAAGAGCCTGCTCCCTCTTAAAACGCACAGAAAATGGATTTTAGGGTCTGTTTG